TTTTCAAATTGATTTTCCACGTGGACCACTCCCATTTAGACACCTGTCCCGTGTCTAAATGTTGTCAAAAGAGGTTGTTCAAGTATCATTTTCCTTCTAGAAAACCTGGTGCGATTCTGCAGAATTCTGCAGAAACGCGCGTGCGTCCAAACAGTGCTCAACCAAATAGCTGTCGGTCAATTTCGGAACCTTCGGTATTGTATTCTGAACGTTCGCCCGAATAGTGAACAATAGTGGTACGCCAAATCTGAGCGTTGGTCCGTATAGGATCGACCATATAGTGGTCGGCCAATTCTGAACGTTCGGTCTTGTATTCTTAGTGTTCGTCCGTATAGACCTCGATCAAAGAGTGGTAGGCAAAAGTGAGCGTTCGGTATTGTACTGGTAGCGAGGGTTAACGTTTGTTCTTGGTGGGTAAGTGATTCTAGCGTTCGGTTTAAATGAGATATTCTCGGCTTGTGAGCGTTCGTTCTTGGTGGGTAAGTGATTTTAGCGTTCGGTCTTAGCTATTAGTGATTGTAGACGTTCGTACTTAAATTGGTATTCTCAGAAAGTGATCTTGAACGTTCGGCCTTCATGAGATTTAATTTGGTAGTGTTCGCTGTCTTAGCGTTAAGTCTAAGTGCTTGATTTCAGCGTTCGCTCTTTTGGTGTTCGACCTAATGGTGTCCGGTCAAATAGCGTTCGTGCTAAATTGTGATTTTAAGGAAGTGATCTTGAGCGTTCGTTTTGATGAATTCGTGATTGTAGCCGTTCGTCCCTAAGTTGGTATTCTAAGTTTGAATCTTAAAACGTTCGGTCTTGGTGTATTAGTGAGCATAAGCGTTCGTTCTTGATTGGTATTCTCTAGTAGCAATGTTGAGCGTTCGATCTTCATTTGATAGTCTTAAGTTTGGATCTTGAGCGTTCGGTCTTGATATCTGTTAGTAATCATTAGCGTTCGACCTGGATCGGGTATTTAGAGGTTTAGTTGGTAAGCGTTCGATTTGGGTGTATCAGTTATAGTTAGCGTTCGATCTTGACCAGGTATTCTCAGGCTTCGATCTTAAGCGTTCGGTATGAATGATAGATAGTGTTCGGTTTTACGGATGCTTATTCCCAGTTTGTGAACGTTCGGTTTCGACGATGTCTGGTAGTGCTTATAATAAGTAGCGTCCGGTCTTGATAAGATTTGATCTTTAAGCGTTCGTCCAAACAGTTCATTTTAAGTGTTCAACCTTAGCGTTCGTTCAAATAGTGTTCGGCTAAATAGTATTCAGTTTAATAACGTTTGGTGTTTTAGTGTTAAGCCTAAGAGATTGATCTTAACGTTCGTCCAGGCAGTATTCAATTTGAGTGAGGTGTTCGGTTTTAGCGTTCGGCCGAATAGTGTTGAATCTAATATGAAGCTCGGTTTTAGCGTTCGGCTGAATAGTGTTCAAACGAATATGGTGCTCGGTTTCAGCGTTCGGCCTGATTGTGTTGGATCTCATAGTGTCCGTCCAGATAGCATAGCGTTCGGCAAATATAGCTATCAGAAGATAGCGTTCGTCCAAAATGTATTCAGCAATTAGCTTTCGTCCGAATAGCTCGATGAATAGTGTTCGGTTGAATAGCGTTCGGCCAAATAGTGTTCGTCCAAATAGTATTCGTCCAAATAGTGCTCGGCAAATAGTGTTCTATAAATAGTGTTGTTTAAGTTTATTTGCTCTTGAATTGAATTATGCGTACAAACGTTTGGAATATATACTGTGATGTGATATTGATGAAAAGATGAGAGTATGTGAAGGTATGAAATATGATAAATTACTGTGATGATCTGATTGTAAATGTAAATGATGAATTCGAATATGATTCGGACATCTTGGGGAGAGATGGATGAAAGTGGTGATGTGAAGTATTGTTGTTGTTCTGTATAACTGTATGGAGCTTTGAACTGGTGTGTATATCCCTACACTCAAAGCATTGTTCATACTCAAGTAGAGAAGGACAGTGTAAGTTGTGAGAGTAGAGGGAGGTCCTCGTCTATAGTCTTTGATAGTAGACATAGACAAATTGGGGGATTTACCTTGCATAGTGTTGGGGTGGCCAACAATAAAACTATACAAGTGCAAAGACGACCAATAGTTCGACAGTTATACAAATCCGAATGAGTCGTGTGAGTGAGTTGTGGTTTAGTGAGTATGCTTTAATTGTTCTTATATATATAACTGCGTATGATGACATGAATTAACTGTGTTGTATGTATAACATGCTTTTTATATCTAGCTCACCCTTGCATTGTTTTGTGTTGTGTGCCGTTTGGGTATGTTTCTTTGGCGATGATCATCCACTTGGATGGGAGCAGATGTTGTCGCGGAGATTCCCTTGGAGCAAGAGCTGGAGGTTACTGATGTTGCGGAGTAGTCTTCTTAGAATTTCCTGATTGAACACTTGTAGTGTTTAATCCTTTCAACTGTTCAAGTTTAAATTTTCAGTTTCTTTTATTCCTGGATGACTGTAATTTCATATTTAATTACACGTCATACTCCGACTGTTCTTTATATTTGGATGTTAACGTCTTTATTATATAATATTGGTTATTATATAATCGGGATGTTACAATATACATCTCATGCGTGGGACTAAATATTAATGTGTGGTCTGATAGTGGCTTGATAGCAGGTAGAATGATATGCCTAACAAAGACAAATCTCGCTAGGATAGACTCTAACTCATGGCTCTACTACTATATTAAGGAGTGGACTTTAAACCCTAATTCAACCCCACAAAACCGACTTATAAAGTGAGATTTACACCCACTTATATACTTTAAATTGGCCTTATCTCTAGTCAATGTGGAACTTCCAACAGGAAGAAAGCCTCACATTCCATTCAGTGGCTTGTTAGTTAAAGGAACAAGATTAGGCACTAAAACAGCTCAAACATCATTTATACAAGACTCAAAAACAGATGAAACATTGTACCATGAGAAGCATAAGGAACAGAATTAGTGGAGAGTAAGTTTTCTTCAACCTTGGGCTGCACAGACAGCTATGCTTGCACCACGCTTTTATGGTTATTTTCAGATATTGAACTAGCACGGAGAGGTGTCTTACAAATTGAAGCTAAAAGCTATTGGCTTCTATGCAACAGAACCAGAATTTCCGGCTGAACTACAAGCGCAAGATGAACCAAAACAGGTTGAGTAATAGAGGAAGTATACATGCAGGAAAGAAAATGAAGCAATTTTTAATTCAATTTAAGGGCAAGCCAGCTGAAGATGCAACATGGGAGGAACAGCTATCAATTTCCAACTTCAGCCTTCAGGAAATGGTTGCATTTACAGCAGGTTTAACGATACAATCCAATACTTTGTTGGGTTGGAAGGAGAACCAGTTATATAAGTCCTAAATAAACTAGCCATTTGAAAGGTATACTCAAGAAAGACATACAAGGTCTCCGAAACTGCTATGGAGTGCAGTTATTTTGTGGAAAGAAGTTGCTAGAACAGTTATTGCAGAAAGAAATTGCTTTGTAAAGAAGTTATTGTGAGAGGGGAGAGTTGTTTTCCTTTGTAGTTATACTCTGTTATATAGGAAAAAGCAATTGTCAGATGTATGAGGGGAGAAGTCATCTCTGCAGGAGCCAGGGCTCCGATTTTGTATCTAAAACAGTGTATTATTGAATTCAATAAAACTCCCTTTTAAATTCAGAAGCATTGTTTATTAAGTTCATGTTTTTTCCATTTAGTAAGATAAGACATTGATAGATACTAGACCAATTAACTGAACCATGATTAGCTCAACTGTCCTATTCTAACCAATAAGCAAATTGATATCCTCTCATTCTCTTGTATTTGCAGAAATAACATTTTATCCATGCGAGGAAAATGCAATTTGACAAGCATCCCGATGATGACCGTGCTCAAGTTAAGTTCTCAAACACAAGTACTTCAGCACTTTAAATTTGGCCAATTTTTTTCAATAACAAGCATACTGAGTAAATCTAAAAGCAAAATGCAACAAATTAGTCAAACATACCATTCCTTGTAAAAACAAGTTCTAAGAAACTCCTTCAGTTTACTGGTGCTAATGCCCATTTAGTGCCTCATCCTGACAACATATAGCGAGCTCATTATAAAATCCAATCTGGATAAAAGTTCTAACTGCAGTCTAATGTTTACCATGGTAGAAAACTGGTCTCTAATACAGTGCATGGTTTTCAGCATCATACCTATAGAATCTGTAGCCAACTGGAACTTTACATCTTGAACTCCCGACTGAAATGGACCAACATTTTGAAGCTGAAACGGAAACAGTTAAAACAATAAAATCACATAAAACAACATTTGATTATTTTACATACAATACATATGCATATCTACTTAATAATAAAGCCAGACCAGAAGACTTAATTGATACGCACATCTGTTACTTGTCTTTAAAGTCTAGAGCAGCACAAAATGAGCATTGAAGGAAGGAAAGTCCGTCCTCTACTCAAGTTCAATAGGTGGTATTTACCTTCAAATCAATAACCGCTGCAGGGTCTGCTGATCCTTTCTCCAGATTTGTCATATTCCATGTCATCGCCTTTAATCTAGGCACAATATTCTTGAAAACAATACAGTTTAAATGTTTAATCTCAGATTAAAGTATCCAATTGAGCTCACTTTCACAAAGTATACAGTAAAACAACTTACTTGATCTTTCATCACATCTTCTTGCCACTCGAGCTGAAACTTCTGCAACAGAAGTGTCAACAGTTTTTGCAATTCAGGCAGAACTTCATCCGGAAACAGCTTTGGAATATCCTCCTTTGAAGTATTCTCATAAACACACCTCCTAATTAACATTCGGAAGCAAACCAGAAGCTGCAGATAGCGTTAAAATAATATTTTGTACCGTGATAAGGATTGGTTACTGATGTGCCTCTCTCTAGGTCACACTCTCCCTCTCAACCTTCGCGCTTCTCTCTCTACAATTCTTCCAAAAATGAATTTCAAATTTGAAAGGCACGTCTTGAAAACCCTGCCCACCCCCTTTCCACGTCAGATTTCATTTTCAAATTGATTTTCCACGTGGACCACTCCCATTTAGACACCTGTCCCGTGTCTAAATGTTGTCAAAAGAGGTTGTTCAAGTATCATTTTCCTTCTAGAAAACCTGGTGCGATTCTGCAGAATTCTGCAGAAACGCGCGTGCGTCCAAACAGTGCTCAACCAAATAGCTGTCGGTCAATTTCGGAACCTTCGGTATTGTATTCTGAACGTTCGCCCGAATAGTGAACAATAGTGGTACGCCAAATCTGAGCGTTGGTCCGTATAGGATCGACCATATAGTGGTCGGCCAATTCTGAACGTTCGGTCTTGTATTCTTAGTGTTCGTCCGTATAGACCTCGATCAAAGAGTGGTAGGCAAAAGTGAGCGTTCGGTATTGTACTGGTAGCGAGGGTTAACGTTTGTTCTTGGTGGGTAAGTGATTCTAGCGTTCGGTTTAAATGAGATATTCTCGGCTTGTGAGCGTTCGTTCTTGGTGGGTAAGTGATTTTAGCGTTCGGTCTTAGCTATTAGTGATTGTAGACGTTCGTACTTAAATTGGTATTCTCAGAAAGTGATCTTGAACGTTCGGCCTTCATGAGATTTAATTTGGTAGTGTTCGCTGTCTTAGCGTTAAGTCTAAGTGCTTGATTTCAGCGTTCGCTCTTTTGGTGTTCGACCTAATGGTGTCCGGTCAAATAGCGTTCGTGCTAAATTGTGATTTTAAGGAAGTGATCTTGAGCGTTCGTTTTGATGAATTCGTGATTGTAGCCGTTCGTCCCTAAGTTGGTATTCTAAGTTTGAATCTTAAAACGTTCGGTCTTGGTGTATTAGTGAGCATAAGCGTTCGTTCTTGATTGGTATTCTCTAGTAGCAATGTTGAGCGTTCGATCTTCATTTGATAGTCTTAAGTTTGGATCTTGAGCGTTCGGTCTTGATATCTGTTAGTAATCATTAGCGTTCGACCTGGATCGGGTATTTAGAGGTTTAGTTGGTAAGCGTTCGATTTGGGTGTATCAGTTATAGTTAGCGTTCGATCTTGACCAGGTATTCTCAGGCTTCGATCTTAAGCGTTCGGTATGAATGATAGATAGTGTTCGGTTTTACGGATGCTTATTCCCAGTTTGTGAACGTTCGGTTTCGACGATGTCTGGTAGTGCTTATAATAAGTAGCGTCCGGTCTTGATAAGATTTGATCTTTAAGCGTTCGTCCAAACAGTTCATTTTAAGTGTTCAACCTTAGCGTTCGTTCAAATAGTGTTCGGCTAAATAGTATTCAGTTTAATAACGTTTGGTGTTTTAGTGTTAAGCCTAAGAGATTGATCTTAACGTTCGTCCAGGCAGTATTCAATTTGAGTGAGGTGTTCGGTTTTAGCGTTCGGCCGAATAGTGTTGAATCTAATATGAAGCTCGGTTTTAGCGTTCGGCTGAATAGTGTTCAAACGAATATGGTGCTCGGTTTCAGCGTTCGGCCTGATTGTGTTGGATCTCATAGTGTCCGTCCAGATAGCATAGCGTTCGGCAAATATAGCTATCAGAAGATAGCGTTCGTCCAAAATGTATTCAGCAATTAGCTTTCGTCCGAATAGCTCGATGAATAGTGTTCGGTTGAATAGCGTTCGGCCAAATAGTGTTCGTCCAAATAGTATTCGTCCAAATAGTGCTCGGCAAATAGTGTTCTATAAATAGTGTTGTTTAAGTTTATTTGCTCTTGAATTGAATTATGCGTACAAACGTTTGGAATATATACTGTGATGTGATATTGATGAAAAGATGAGAGTATGTGAAGGTATGAAATATGATAAATTACTGTGATGATCTGATTGTAAATGTAAATGATGAATTCGAATATGATTCGGACATCTTGGGGAGAGATGGATGAAAGTGGTGATGTGAAGTATTGTTGTTGTTCTGTATAACTGTATGGAGCTTTGAACTGGTGTGTATATCCCTACACTCAAAGCATTGTTCATACTCAAGTAGAGAAGGACAGTGTAAGTTGTGAGAGTAGAGGGAGGTCCTCGTCTATAGTCTTTGATAGTAGACATAGACAAATTGGGGGATTTACCTTGCATAGTGTTGGGGTGGCCAACAATAAAACTATACAAGTGCAAAGACGACCAATAGTTCGACAGTTATACAAATCCGAATGAGTCGTGTGAGTGAGTTGTGGTTTAGTGAGTATGCTTTAATTGTTCTTATATATATAACTGCGTATGATGACATGAATTAACTGTGTTGTATGTATAACATGCTTTTTATATCTAGCTCACCCTTGCATTGTTTTGTGTTGTGTGCCGTTTGGGTATGTTTCTTTGGCGATGATCATCCACTTGGATGGGAGCAGATGTTGTCGCGGAGATTCCCTTGGAGCAAGAGCTGGAGGTTACTGATGTTGCGGAGTAGTCTTCTTAGAATTTCCTGATTGAACACTTGTAGTGTTTAATCCTTTCAACTGTTCAAGTTTAAATTTTCAGTTTCTTTTATTCCTGGATGACTGTAATTTCATATTTAATTACACGTCATACTCCGACTGTTCTTTATATTTGGATGTTAACGTCTTTATTATATAATATTGGTTATTATATAATCGGGATGTTACAATATACATCTCATGCGTGGGACTAAATATTAATGTGTGGTCTGATAGTGGCTTGATAGCAGGTAGAATGATATGCCTAACAAAGACAAATCTCGCTAGGATAGACTCTAACTCATGGCTCTACTACTATATTAAGGAGTGGACTTTAAACCCTAATTCAACCCCACAAAACCGACTTATAAAGTGAGATTTACACCCACTTATATACTTTAAATTGGCCTTATCTCTAGTCAATGTGGAACTTCCAACAGGAAGAAAGCCTCACATTCCATTCAGTGGCTTGTTAGTTAAAGGAACAAGATTAGGCACTAAAACAGCTCAAACATCATTTATACAAGACTCAAAAACAGATGAAACATTGTACCATGAGAAGCATAAGGAACAGAATTAGTGGAGAGTAAGTTTTCTTCAACCTTGGGCTGCACAGACAGCTATGCTTGCACCACGCTTTTATGGTTATTTTCAGATATTGAACTAGCACGGAGAGGTGTCTTACAAATTGAAGCTAAAAGCTATTGGCTTCTATGCAACAGAACCAGAATTTCCGGCTGAACTACAAGCGCAAGATGAACCAAAACAGGTTGAGTAATAGAGGAAGTATACATGCAGGAAAGAAAATGAAGCAATTTTTAATTCAATTTAAGGGCAAGCCAGCTGAAGATGCAACATGGGAGGAACAGCTATCAATTTCCAACTTCAGCCTTCAGGAAATGGTTGCATTTACAGCAGGTTTAACGATACAATCCAATACTTTGTTGGGTTGGAAGGAGAACCAGTTATATAAGTCCTAAATAAACTAGCCATTTGAAAGGTATACTCAAGAAAGACATACAAGGTCTCCGAAACTGCTATGGAGTGCAGTTATTTTGTGGAAAGAAGTTGCTAGAACAGTTATTGCAGAAAGAAATTGCTTTGTAAAGAAGTTATTGTGAGAGGGGAGAGTTGTTTTCCTTTGTAGTTATACTCTGTTATATAGGAAAAAGCAATTGTCAGATGTATGAGGGGAGAAGTCATCTCTGCAGGAGCCAGGGCTCCGATTTTGTATCTAAAACAGTGTATTATTGAATTCAATAAAACTCCCTTTTAAATTCAGAAGCATTGTTTATTAAGTTCATGTTTTTTCCATTTAGTAAGATAAGACATTGATAGATACTAGACCAATTAACTGAACCATGATTAGCTCAACTGTCCTATTCTAACCAATAAGCAAATTGATATCCTCTCATTCTCTTGTATTTGCAGAAATAACATTTTATCCATGCGAGGAAAATGCAATTTGACAAGCATCCCGATGATGACCGTGCTCAAGTTAAGTTCTCAAACACAAGTACTTCAGCACTTTAAATTTGGCCAATTTTTTTCAATAACAAGCATACTGAGTAAATCTAAAAGCAAAATGCAACAAATTAGTCAAACATACCATTCCTTGTAAAAACAAGTTCTAAGAAACTCCTTCAGTTTACTGGTGCTAATGCCCATTTAGTGCCTCATCCTGACAACATATAGCGAGCTCATTATAAAATCCAATCTGGATAAAAGTTCTAACTGCAGTCTAATGTTTACCATGGTAGAAAACTGGTCTCTAATACAGTGCATGGTTTTCAGCATCATACCTATAGAATCTGTAGCCAACTGGAACTTTACATCTTGAACTCCCGACTGAAATGGACCAACATTTTGAAGCTGAAACGGAAACAGTTAAAACAATAAAATCACATAAAACAACATTTGATTATTTTACATACAATACATATGCATATCTACTTAATAATAAAGCCAGACCAGAAGACTTAATTGATACGCACATCTGTTACTTGTCTTTAAAGTCTAGAGCAGCACAAAATGAGCATTGAAGGAAGGAAAGTCCGTCCTCTACTCAAGTTCAATAGGTGGTATTTACCTTCAAATCAATAACCGCTGCAGGGTCTGCTGATCCTTTCTCCAGATTTGTCATATTCCATGTCATCGCCTTTAATCTAGGCACAATATTCTTGAAAACAATACAGTTTAAATGTTTAATCTCAGATTAAAGTATCCAATTGAGCTCACTTTCACAAAGTATACAGTAAAACAACTTACTTGATCTTTCATCACATCTTCTTGCCACTCGAGCTGAAACTTCTGCAACAGAAGTGTCAACAGTTTTTGCAATTCAGGCAGAACTTCATCCGGAAACAGCTTTGGAATATCCTCCTTTGAAGTATTCTCATAAACACACCTCCTAATTAACATTCGGAATTTTCTGAAACACTCTTCCCTTCTCTGCGTGCTCTTTCATCTTCCTCAGAAAACCAAACCCTCATTTTCTCCTCCTTCTCTCTAGAACCTTCCGTCTTCCCTCTTCTGCAACTCACCCTCCTTTTCTCCGTTCACGTTCAGCACCGTGAGAAAGCACAGCACTCAAACCGTGATCTTCCATCAACGGCGATTGTTTTGGATTCTGAAACGGGTAAGTTTCACGTCCTCAACCACTCTTCATTTTTCCACATGCAAGCTCGTTTTAAAATCTGCATGCACTTCTCTGAACCAGTCGTGGTTTCTGAATTTTTAGTTGAAGAGTTTTTGGGTTTTCGAACGAAACGGGGTTAGAAAGTTGATACTGGGATCTGGGTTTTTTTAAAGACGAATCACGTTCCATCCAGGTAAGGGAAGCTTATTGGTTTAATTCATGTGATGCCTGTACTGCATGCGTGTTATGTGATGTTTGAAAGTATGATTTCTGATATTTGACTTTTGAGTATATGAATATGATGCTGAAATGATATGTGAAAGTGTTGCATGTATGTCATGGGAACGATACGTTTGTGTGTATATGTTCTGTAATGTATGTAATGTGCCCCTAATAATTGATCTGGTAGATATGAATGTTGATTCAAAGATGAGAGTTTAGAGTATACTGTGATATGATTAATTGAATGAATGTACGTTTATAACTGGACAATGAGTACTGTAAAAGAGATTTTTTTTATATAAAAGTGCAATGAATTGGAACGTTCGTTATCGATACGGCATTGACCGTTCGGTAATTAGCAGTAATTCTTGACGTAGTCGGGGACCCTTTTTCATTTGGAAAGGCTTCCCTTAGGGACGAACGCCCTCTTAACTAGCTTTTAAGTTTGAGCATTTGGCAAATGTACTCTTTATGAGTGTTTCGTGAGATTTTGAGCAGCTTGATAACCTCCCGTTTGAATACTTAGTCAATTGCAGACAATGATTTTTAATATCTTAACGTATAGAAATCCAAACTTCGAAATTTTTGAATCATGGAAATTCCCTATCTAAAAGCGTTACGTCCTTAAGTGGATTCGTCTTATACGAACGTTAGTCCTAAACAGTGTAATGATAAGTAGTGCTCGGTATGATACCGAACGCATCGTCCCACTACGGATGTGATAAAGACGCTTCGTCCAAATATACCAACGGTCGTTCATTCTCTAAATTATTAGCAAACGGTAATATCATTCGGCCTGAATTGACATAAGCGTTTCGTCCTATTTAATTAGCGTTCGTCCACAAGTTCTATTAACGTTCGTCCAATATTTTCGTGACGTTCCGTCCAAAGGTTTTCTTTAGCGCTCGTCATTGACTGGCTTTTTGTCTCTTGAATAAATCTTGTAAAGTGAATTATCTAGGTTTAATTTTTCAAGGATCAGTTCATCTACTGATTGAAATTATCACGTCTTCTTGACAGATGAGTTAAGCTTGATTCCTTTGTAAATGAACTTCTCTTGGTTTTAATCTGAACGTTCGTCCTGTTAGGAAAGGAGTGAACGTTAGTCTTTTTACGAGAGTGGAACACAGAATGACAATTTATTTAAGAGGATGCATTAAGGATGTGCGAACAACCATGATGAATGAACTTTGTGATGTGGAATTTGAACAGCGTTCCAGGAGGAACGACTCTTGTTGAAAAGGGAGATTTGTAACGTATGAATGTGGCAAGCTTAGCTGGCGGTTCATCCTGATATGCCGTGAGTGCTTCGTTCTTCAAGTAGGATGAGCATGTCAGCGTGGGAATGGCAGGAGGTCCTAGTTCATAACTGTAACTGAACGGAACGGACTAACCCAGGTGGCAGCTGACGAGTATTCCACCAGCTCTTCCACCTGGGTGCACGGACGTCGTAGCCTACACAAATTCAACATGTCCGGACGTCAAGTCTAGTATCCGGATTTTGGTTTAAGTTTATGTATGCACTGAATGATTGTGTTGTTGAATAACTTTTATATGTTGATTCTGGTATAAACTTTATGTTTGCCTTAAATTCCATTCAATACGCTCCCCTTGCATTTCCTCTTCGTGTTGTCTTGTCTATGTATATCCGTCTTGTCAAATGCAATGATCATCCGTGTGGATGTGAGCAGAGGGAGATGCGTCTCTGGAGCAAACTCTTTAAGAGGAACTCGTTACTGAAGAAAATTTAGTAGAAGTTGAGGTGAAGGCCGAACAGTGAGGCGTTCGGTTATTTAGTTAGTTTGATTAGTACGAGCGTCTGTGAGCGAGCCGCTCTTTTTTGCTGGATATATCTATATTGGAACGTTCGGATCAATTCTTGTAACCGTTCGTCCTCCTTGCTTTGTAAACGCTCGTTGTTTTTTTAAATGAAAGGACGTTCGGCCATTTAATTCAATTGCTTTACTGTATTACTAAACTGTTTTGCCATATTGATTAATGTGATTATTCTAAGTATATAGAGTTTGATGACTGTATATTTCCGGGATGTTACACAATATTATTATTATTATTATTATTATTAGGTTTATCATTCACTACGTCCCTATTTTCGCATGGAAATCTCAATTTCCGTCCCTTTCTTTCGAAAATATCAATTGTGTGTTCCCACTTTTGATGAAATTCAACAAATCGATCCTTCCGTTAAATAGTGTCAAACGGCGTTAAAAAATTTATGAGTGGATGCTGAGATGACGAACGAACGCTCGTCCACCAGCGAACGAACGCTCGTTCACCAGCGAACGAACGCTCGTCCACCAGCGAACGAACGCTCGTCGACCACCGAACGAACGGTCGTCCAGTGTGGAACGAACGGTCGTCCAGCAGTAAGAGGTCCACGAGCGTTCGTTCCGCTGGTGGAACGAAGCGCGTTCGCTTACGACTTGTCGTTGGAACGAGGCGTTCGTTCGTCCATAACAGCATCCCTCATCATTTTTTTAACGCCGTCCCCAGCCAATTATTTTCATAAAATTGGGACCCAATTGATATTTTTTCCAGAAAGGAAGGGACGAAATTGAGATTCCATGGCGAAAATAGGGACTTTAGTGAATGATTAAACCTATTATTATTATTATTATTATTATTTGGTTTGTTTATTATTATTATCATTAATTATTTTTCCATGAAATTTACTGAGGAATAGAATACCGCTTTGGCGTAGGGTTTAATAAATCTTTTACATAAGCTTGAACTTTTCCTTTTTCTTTCCTATAATTCCAATACTGGTGGTTGATGAATGGAGCAAACGTATATGGGGTTTGGCATTTTGCCCGGTGCTGATGAGGCCCAAATTCCAAAGATCTATCGAGGACATTCTTCAAGCCCTTTTTTGAGAACTCGAAAGAGTGGGGTCCTTGTGCAACTTTCTGATCGATGCATTCAATCCAAACAGTGCTTCAACTACAACAATGAATGAATCTGATCTCGACCCAGTACTCCCTCCTCTTTCTTCTACGTTTTTATATGGATACATAGTATGCAATGAATCTAGGGTTTTATTTGTTTTTGGACAAACTTCAACTCCAAACGAAAAAATTAAAAGGCAATCTATTTCTATAAACCAATTTAGTTTTATATATAAGTTAGCTTTTAATATATAATGATTTTTTTTTTTTAAAAATTTTTTAAAAAATAACTTTTTTATTTTAAAAAAACTTTGTTATGATATAATGTTACGTCCTTCACGTTTTTCTTCCCAAGCACACAATGCTTATGTATAAGTTTTCTTCCTTATAGAAATCCTATCACGGTACAAAATATTATTTTAAACACTATCGCAGCTTCTGGTTTGCT